GGCAATCAGCAACATTCAGGCTGGTGGTAAGGGTGCTTTCAATAGCCATGGCTGGCAGCTAATGGTTGCCCTAATAAGGAGGCTGGACAGTTTTCCCTTAGTTGGCTTAAAGTATAAGCTGAGAAGAAACCAAGAGAGAAGGAAAAGGGAAGTCAGTTGGGCATATACACTTTCTGCAGGCGGTAACTGGATGATGACCACTCTGAAGGGACTGCTGCCCCCTACCTGTCAGGGAGGGGACTACTGGAATATGGCCAGGTCATCACCTCTCAGTATAGCCCCTATTGTATTGCAATTGTTTTTTCCTGAAATAAAGCTCACCTCTTTTAGGGCACTTTCTTTGCCCTTGTCTCCTGAGTCGCCCCTGTCATACCTCATACAAACACAAAGACATTGCATGGCTGCTTTACTTGTATACTCTCTTGGATGTTTCCAAAGGCTTTCTTATATTACGTGCCTAATCCAGGTAGACATGCCTTATCCAGTATGCTGCATGCTCTATTCTATGGCCACAGGTTCCATAATGCTTTTTTGAAATCTTCTGACTTTTTTTTAGAATAGAAAAATTATGAATTTCATAAAGACTTGGTGTGAGATTTTTTCCCTACCATGTCCTCTTAACATGATTCCTCACACAATGTTATATATAAACGATATAACAGGTATTTAAACCAGGAAGGATTGTTTCTGATTCGTGGCTTGGTGGTTATTTCTGTAGTCTCACACCACTAGGGTTGTTGGTTTAAATCCTGCGTACAGCTTTGTGTCTGAAGTTTGGGTGTATTCCTTAGTGCATGGTTTCTTTCCCTAACTCTAAAAGCATACAGTTAAAGGAATTGGTGGCTCTAAATTATCTGTAGTGTGTGGATATGTGTGTCCTGTGCAGGGAGTCCCCTGCCCTGTGCTTTCGAGGAAGGACTCCAGGATCACTGTGAGTCTATACCAGACAGGAAGTCATGGAAGCTGAATCGGCGTTTTCTTCTTCGAGAACTCTGGGACAGCTATATCTTTCAAAACACTTGGGAAGTATTAAATGAAAGTGTGCTCCACCTTGAGAGCAATTAAATGTTTGAAAGACTTTTCTCACAGAAATTAAGACACTGGATTTTGATTTATTTTTCATTGCTGCGGGATCAGAAAGTACACAAAAGGAGAGATTAATAAAACACCCAGCGATCTGATTTCCTGTCTGATTGTCAGTCTGTTTTTTTGCCCCATTCTTTTGGGAATGCTCATTAGGCTATGTTGGCAGTTTCAGAGAAAAAACATTAAATCCAGAGACAAACAAAGATCCTGTTCAAATCCTTCAAATTAAATATAATGGCTCAGGTCTTTTGTTTACAACAGATGAGCAACAATAGATCATATCGTATGGTTACTAAACAAAAACCAGATGCTTCTTTGTATACGTAGTTTTTCATGCTCCGCTTGGCAAAATTCTGTATATCTAGGCTCACAACATTTTTAAAGGTGCTGCCATGCTTAATTGGCTTGACAGGGTTTTATAAACTGCCATTGAAATGCCAGTCTATGTGACACTGTGTCACAACTTCAGCTTGCCACTGATTGCATCACTATATTCTTTTCACAGTATAGTGTGGACTGTTGTTTTTTTTATGACAATTTTGTAACATTTTAAACAGAATGTATCTGAACACAAGCTATTCAACTTGGGAAACTGTGGAATCATTTCAGTCACTGATTGGTTAGTGGTATACTGGTTTGGACGCTGGTCTGAAGGAATTTTATCTGTTTCTCCTCCCTCAATTAGTCCATAATAGTACAATATCAACTAATATTTTGTGTAATTTCCTTTCAGTATGTGTCACGGAGGGCGTCGTGGAAAATAAGGAGGACACTGCGGATCAGGCAGGCGAAACGTCTTTAATTATAGTCTTAATTCCAGACAGCAAAATCAAAAAACGTATAAGAATGTGGTCGAGGAGTGGGCAGGGGTTGGGTGATCCTCGTCGGCTGTCAGGGGACAGGGCTAAAGCCAGGATCTGGAGACAAGCAGGAGTTTTGGCGATCGGCGTAGATACTAGGAGAGCTAGGCAAGACATGAAGTCGATAAAGCAAAAATAGGGTATTTGGCAGACAGGCTAGCAGACAGGCAAATGGGACAGAATTGCTCAAACTCGCATGAAGCTACAAAGATCTTACGCCTGCTTGGTGTGTCTGACACAAATAAGAAAGACAGACCAATGGAAAACACCTGAAAGAGCGAGGCCTGCAGCTAACTGGTTTTATTGGTTCCCGAGGCAGGCAGGGAAGGAGCATGCCTGCCGGTGCCAGTCTCTCTTCTCAGGATTTCCCCGAGGGCGTGGATGGGAAGCACTGCGTGACATCATAGGAGTTTCCATGACAGTATGTTGGCTTTCTAACCCACTTTCTTTAGATTCTTTCCAGAGTAGATGAACACACTGGGTCTTAATATTCCTTTGATGCCTTTTTTCCCTAAAAAGCCTTTTTGATTTCTGTGCTTCTGTTTTCAGCTTATGACCGGTCTTTTTCTGATCTTGTCAGCAGGTCCTCATCATTCCTTCCCATCTTTGCAATTTCCTCCTCTTTGCATAGTGACACCATCCAATGGTTCAAAACAAGGCCTCTCAGTTCTTGCTGGAATTTTTATCTCTGCGTGGATTTTTCTGCAGCAGGATGCAATGTGACAAATACAGTGGTTATATGGCAGCTCTCTTCCAGAAGGCTTGGCTGAACTACCTTATTTAGAAACTTTATCAACAAACCATTAGCAACAAGCGAACTGTGAGATAATTTGCTGATATTAGAGGCTTACAGCTGTACATTGAAAAAAAAAAGAAAACTTCAAATGTTTATGTTGAAACACATTGCCAGTGACCTCAATTAAATAAACCATGCATGAGGAATAAACGAGTACACTCTGTGAATGAAGGTCTACATCCTTAACTGTGATTAATACATAAACCCCAGCTAAAAAACTTGCCGAAAACATTAATCTCCCATCCAATTGCATATCCTGGGGCACCAAGAAAGGGTACACTTCAGAGGGGATACTGTTCTATCATGGATCACTTATGCACACACATTTTGGGCTATTTAGAGACACCAATTAGCCCAACTGCATGTGCATAAACTGTAGAAGTAAACATGCAACATAGCGAGAACATGTGAACTCTCCAAGTATAGAGGAAAAGAGGATTTAAACTGCAGCCCCTGAAGGTGCGAGATGACAGTAGTATTCACTGAGCTACTCCTACTCTGCCATCTTTTCCTATATTGTATAAAGAATGTGAGCTATGTGGTTATATAAAAATATATAAACTTAGAAAGATACTTTGTTTGCCATTTGCACAAGTACAGGCACATTGGAATATGTCTCTTTGCCAACCCCCATCTTGCTCTCCGTAGCCTTTTGGGGGGGGGGGGGGGGCACAGCGCAGGATAAGCTACAGCACCCCTGGGGGTTAAGGGCCCAGCTAAAGGAACATGTGACTCCACTGCCAAGGCTGGGGCTCAAACCAGCAATCTTCTGATCACAGGCACAGAGACTCAGACCACTGAGTCACTCGAAACATCTAAGCCCGAGTTTAGTAGGTTATAGGCCTACAGAAAATGAACATTTCAAAATGTTACAAATTCAAAAGGCATCTTATAACTTGAAATGATCTTCTACAAAGACACTTGGTCTACTTCATTGGCTATAATAGGCAAGACAGTTTTGTAGGTAACAGTAAAATAGGATGTCACCAAGTTATACAATAGCCTACATCTCAAGCTTAACTGATGTCAATTTCATATAAAATGAGTGTTTCCTTTAAGGAAATTAGCTGTTGTACATTTAGTGGTGTAAGATGTTTGCGATTGTCAGAGTGAATTTCTGCAACAGTACTAAACAGTATCTCACTTGGCAGAGATGTTGGTGGTGAGCATAGGTCAACCTGTACCGTTTTAGCAAGCAATGGATAACGGTGATGGTGAACCTTCCACCAATGAAGTGAATTTTCAGATCGGGAAATGAGATGTTCACCAACGAAAGCACTTATCTCTGTGTCTTTTAGCTTGCAATACTGCCACACTGGGCTTTTTCCTGCATCATTCTGTGCATCCCTATAAGTGAGCATTTGGATCAAGTAATTCTTGATAAGTATGTGAAAACTATTCAGACATCTCACCTTTGGCTTATTGATTTCTAGGAGGCGGATGAGGGACAACCGAAAGGGGTGGGTACTGACTAGGCCTGGTCGATATTACGGTAATACCCCTCCCCCGCTCAGGAATTTTTACACCACAGTACCACTGCAATTTAAACTTCTGTCAAAATCATGTATACTGCAGTGTAGTGTCTGGATAGTATAATAGTTTTAGAAATTAGATACTGCCCAAGCCTACTGCTGGCTGAGGGGGTGGGGCAATTTGTAGTGGGATGGAATGTCTGATAGCAGTCAATTTTTTATTGTGCGACATATCAAGTGTTAAAATATTCTTTAGATGTCTGAAATGTGACTCCAAAGTTTATTGAAAATGTTGTGATTTGTAGCAGTTAATATCTGTATCAGCATTCTGCAGCAGTCCAGTCCAATTTATCAGCTGACTGTTTGGAAATGGTGAGTGAGACGACACATTGGATCTTTACATCCATTAATAAAAACCCCTATCACTAGACTTGTAACATTCACCATTGCATTCTTTTAGGTGGATATGATCTCGGTCACTGCACTAATTCATTCAATCTGTTCATTTCAGTGAATGACTGAGTACTTGTAATCATTTTATTACATTCAATTAGTCGTCATTCACATAATCTAACTTGATGGTTGGCCCACCTTGGGGGGGGGGGGGGGGTGTAATGTATACTTATTATACTTTTTATTAAGCACAAAGGAAAAAAAAACATCGAACATCTAAGTGGGACCTCCCCCAGTGAAAAATATTCCAAGGTGAACGGACCAGTTAACGATTTATATAGAATCAGCTGAACGAAACGAGAAGACTCCGTTCACTAAAAATGATCACGATGTCCATCTGTAATATTCACTAAAACCGCTAGCGATATTGGACCGGGCCATCATAGGGCGGGTGATGGCTTATGAATCGAGCCTGCACCACGTCCTTACAGCTGGAGTGCGGGCGCCACTGCCTGCACGCGAGCAGGCTCGAGCCTGCGCTACCACCTTACAGCTGGAGTGCGGGCGCCACTGCCTGCCCATTATGCACAGACCAAGTCCGCACTGTAAGCGTTTTCTCATCGTTCGCTCGTATTTGCGCTCCATTGAAAGGACTTAACTTAAGAACTTAACTTCTACGTATGTGTGGTGAAATGCATATGAGGGCAAACTTGAAAGTTGACAGTTATTTATTTTTGTTTGATTAGCATTGATTGTTCGTAATGAGATACCGACATTGACATGCTTTATGCACGTTATAGTTATCGACATTTTAATTTATTTATATTTTCAAACATCAATTTGCAGATTATCAATTTGTATTGTATGTTTTATTTATTATTAACATTGCTTTTAAAACAGGCAGTTTAAGTGGTGGGCAGAGCTTATGATTTTAAATACGTATCCTAAATGAACAACATAGCAACACGTTTGATATATAGGCTTATAACGTGGCTTATTTATGCAACATAACCCAAGCCGGTAGGGAAATAATTAAATTTTCGATTATATTAGAGCAAATCATTCTTGTAACCGGTTACAGTTTCAAATCACATTAAGAATTCCACGATTAAGAAGCTGCTTAAGTCCACTTGTAAATGGAAAAACGCGTCATCCTTTAATGGGGTTCGTCATATTTACACCTTGAGCGTTATCTCTGGTTGAGTGTAAAGGATTATTATCGCGTCGGCGAACTGGCTCCGGGCTCATTTACATCTCCAGTCATATCTCTGCCTGTTTGTGGTTGTAAATAGTCGTGTCTTGTCCCTGGTCGTCACATGTGCACATGTTGTGTTTGTCAGATCCACACGTGTCTCCACCCGATTTGTAAATGCCTACTGTTATGCGAGACGTGACTACCCCTCCGTTTCCCTATTGCAAAGTTTCTAAGTAACAAGATGTATTATTGCTCGTTCTTGTGCAGGTGTAGTGGGATTCGCGCCTGCTTATCGCAGGTTACGAGAGTCCTTTTCAAGGCTAACAATAAAAGAGCGTAGTTTTATCTACTGGAAGTAACGTCATCCATTTTTGCTGCGATGCCTGGGTCTGCTGAGCGCAACATTATTATACGATGTTTTAAATCTTTCACTTGCAACGATATTTTATACTGAAGTAGTTCATCCATCTTCCATAAGTGCTTATTCGGGACAAGGTAATGGTGAGTCTGCTGGCAATCAGAGGAAGCATGGGGTGCAAAGCATCTTTTCAAATATTCACATCGCCTGCTTAGAAAAAAATGTGATACCTTTTCAGTTGATACCACGTTTACTTTAAGTATTTTATGTGTTTTAGGTTTATATGGCCAGCTTCTCTGTATATCTACACAAAGACGAATATTCTACTTAGTTTCTACTCAGTAATAAAATGAAATGTCTGTAAAGCCATAGCCTTAAATTTCTTCCAAACGAGAAGTTGCCCTGTGCTTAGTTAGGTGCAGTCCAGATAGAGGCAGTTCCCCTTTATTTAAATAAGTAAACATTGTTTATGGTATTGTATTACAGTATAGCAATACACATTAATTCAATTGTTATGTTAACATTTAAATGTATTCATTTAGCAGGCACTTCTACTCAGAGCGTTGCACAATTCAGAAAAGGGGTCAACCAGGATGTCACACCAAGTGAAAGAAGCGCAACCTAAATGCACAGGGTGAGTGCTGAATACCCTGCAGGAAGGGCTTTTATTTTTTGGCAAATGCAGGGTGTAGAGGTGACAACAGGTAGCAATGACAGAACTGGGGAACACAGGTCAAGGGAGAGCTTATATACACGACTAACGAAGGATAAAACAACAGACAGCTGTGGCTGGTTAACGGGAGGACAGAACAATAGGCAGGACTAAGAAACACGTGGTGTGGCCCTAAACCAGCCACACCTTCACAGGAGACAGGCGTAGGACAGGCAGAGTGGGCATGACCTGACACAGGCCCTGGAGAAATTGAGGTAAAAGGTTTTGCTCAGGGGCGCAGTGGGGGTCTCTTCTCCCAGCAGGCAGTTAAGTCCGGAAAATGCGTAAAAAGTTACGCACTTTTGAGTTTATGCGTATTCTCCTCCCATTAATGCGGTGAAGCCCACTGTGCATAACCCGAAAAAGAAGGGGTTATGCCCTCAATGATTTTTAGCAACAAGAAAAACCTAGAACACATAATCCTTATTTTATATTGTGAACCTGAATGAAATCCACAGAAAGCCCTTTATTTTGAAAACGAATCCACTGCAGTAGACTACCACTCTTGTATTTGGTCATTCTCACGAAAATGAGAACCAATAGACAAAAACGAAATGTTACAGTGAAATGCATTGTTTGAATTTTGTGCAGAGCAACTAACCTTACCTTAACTTATTAGGTATATTAAAATGTCATGATCCCTCAACCATTTCCCCCAAATAGGCAGTACCACAGCAGGATTAAAATCAAATAACACAGAACTAGATAAAATGTTTTTAAGTTTTTCAACTTGATTGCAAGTAACCCACAATACACAAGCAATTAGTATACTAAGGTGTACACTCATTTTTTTCAATTGTTTTGTATTGTCAATGGTTTTGCTCTGCAACTAATTAATTACCCCAGAGGCAAAATCCACATTTTAGAAGATAATATTATGTGAGTCTGTTGTCAAACTAACTAAAAAAATTAGAGAAAATTGATATGGCATGGTAATGAGTTTGTGAGAATAACCCATAATGTATTTAAAAACAAATCCATATACTTGGATTTTTTTTCCCTCTTCACTCAGGACAATTCTGTAAACAAGCAAATATGCCTAAGCACAGGACAATAGATGTGGTGTAAATCTTACTATTAGTAGCGTGGACTTAATGTTCAGAACACATTTCTGATAAAATAATAATACAGTTACCTGCATAGTCCAAACAAGCTTATGTGTTACAGCGTAGGTTGTGATGTAATATTCCAAACCAGTTGCTGGTCACTGCCACTGAAAACCCACACATCTACCTCATTAAGCGTAGAATGGTTATCAATTAGGTGAGTGTCCTGATCAGGTAGTACCACTGACCTAGTGTATGTAGTGTATGCATGTAGTGTATGCATGTGTAAGAAAACATGGGACAAATGGCGTCTTGTATAGGTTCAGTCTTATGATCTTATGATCCACCTGGAAATATGCAATGCATTCAGTGTCATTCAGCTGAAATGCATCTAGATGAAGGTGTCTCTGGCTGTCTGTTTGGCTCACAGGAGCACAAGTATATGCACTGTGGTTTAGGATTGTGAGGACACTACTTCGTTTGAGCCTAATTTTTTAGTCATTTAAGGAATTGTTTTTGTCATTGACCAGTTGTTTATCCTAATTGTTTGGCTCCCAGGCTTGTTGACAAGGTAGCTACCTGTATATACTTATGCATTTCTATATACTATTGTGTAATATAGTTACCGTATTTGCCGGCGTATAAGACGACTTTTTCCCCCTGAAAAACATGCCTCCAAGTGGGGGGGTCGTCTTATACGCCGGGTGCACTTCAGTTGGGATAGACATAGCTGCCCATAGTGGCCTCCCGATGCCCGCCCGCTGCCCATAGTGGCGTCCCGGTGCCCGCCCGGAGCCCATAGTGGCCTCCCGATGCCCGCCCACCTCATTCTACATACCATCCAGTATCGCATGGTATCCGGCGTGGCCGCGGCAGGTCATCAGCGTGGCCGCGGCGAGCATCAGCAGCGAGACAGGGGTGCCAGCCTTTTCGGCGTGACCGGCCCGTTCTGCTCGGCGGGAAGCAGCGGCACTCTGGCCCGCCCCTTGTCTACGCAGAGCTCGCACATGCGCACTTGCGCACTAGTGCCGGTCACAAGGAGATGCAGGGACGGGCCGGAGGCGCTGCGGCCGTACAATGGTGACAATGACAGGTACTGTAATGGCACTAATACTAATACTAATGGCACTCATGTAATACCGGTATAATACCGGTAACAATAATAGCACACAGGGGTACACTTTTATACATTTTGCAACTCTCTCCTCGCCCCCCTTCTTATGCATACCTAGATAAATACTCCCTATCCAAATCTCTTATCATGTCATAAGCATTTGAATATAAATTAACATGTTGAAATCAAATCTGATGTTCTTTTACGTTTTATTTGGTGTGTGGAAGGTGTGCGGAAGAGGGGGTAGTCTTATACGGCAAATATATAACAAACTCTATATTTTGAGTGGAAATGTTGGGGGGTCGTCTTATACGCCCAGTCGTCTTATACGTCGGCAAATACGGTAGTTCATAATTCTAATATAATTATATGAATTATTAACATGTAATTTTGCATTGTACCATTTACTTTTAAATGTATAATGTCCTCTCCTGGAGCCCCCTAATGATGAACAAAATATTGGATCCACGATTTCCCTTATCCAGACGTGGGTTACCAGGGCCCCCTCCTGGAGCCAGACCTGGGGATGGGGTGGGGCTCGATGGTGAGCACCTGGTGGCTAGACCTGCACCCATGGGACCTGGTCGGGCACGGCCCGAACAAGGCACGTGGGTCCGCCCTCCAATGGGCTCACCACCTGTAGGAGGGGCCATAGGGGTCGGGTGCAGTGTAAGTTGGGCAGTGGCCGAAGACGGGGACCTTGGCGGTCCGATCCTCGGCTGCAGAAGCTAGCTCTAGGGACATAGAATGTCACCTCTCTGGTGGGGAAGGAGCCTGAGCTGGTGCGCGAGGCTGTGAGGTTCCGACTAGATGTAGTCGGGCTCACCTCGATGCACGGCTTGGGGTCTGGAACCAGTCTCTTCGAAGGGGGTTGGACCCTCTTCCACTCTGTAGTTGCTCACGGGGAGAGGCGCCGAGCTGGGGTGGGCATACTTATTGCCCCCTGGCTGGGCACCTGTACATTGCGGTTTACTACGGTGGACAAGACGGTAGCCTCCCTTTGCCTTCGAGTGGGGGGACGGGTCTTGACTATTGTTTGTGCTTATGCGCCAAACCGCAGTTCAGAATACCCACCCTTTTTGGAGTCCTTGGAAGGGGTGTTGGAGAGTGCTCCTCCCGGGGACTCTCTTGTTCTGCTGGGGACTTCAATGCCCACGTGGGCAATGACAATGAGACCTGGAGAGGCGTGATTGGGAGGAAGGGCCCCCCCCATCTGAACCCGAGTGGTGTTTTGTTGTTGGACTTCTGTGCTCATCATGGATTGTCCATAATGAACACCATGTTCAAGCATAAGGGTGTCCATATGTAGACTTGGCACCAGGACACCCTAGGCCGCAGTTCGATGATCGACTTTGTGGTCGTGTCATCGGACTTGCAGCCACATGTATTGGACACTCGGGTGAGGAGAGGGGCGGAGCTGTTAACCGATCACCACCTGGTGGTGGGTTGGCTCCGCTGGTGAGGGAGGCAATGCGGCCGCAAGTCCGATGACACGACCACAAAGTCGATCATCGAACTGCGGCCTAGGCGTATAGTGCGTATAGACCCAAGCGTATAGTGCGAGTCTGCTGGGAATGTCTGGCGGAATCCCCTGTCAGAGGGAGTTTCAACTCCTACCTCCAGCAGAACTTCGCCCATGTCCTGGGGGAGGCGGGGGACATTGAGTCCGAATGGACCATGTTCCGCGCCTCCATTGTGGAGGCGGCTGACTGGAGCTGTGGCCATAAGGTGGTCGGTGCTTGTCGCGGCGGCAATCCCCGAACCCGCTGGTGGACACCGGTGGTGAGGGATGCCATCAAGCCGAAGAAGGAATCCTATCGGGCCTTTTTGGCCTGTGGGACTCCGGAAGCAGCTGATGAGTACCGGCAGGCCAAGCGGAATGCGGCTTCGGCGGTCGCTGAGGCAAAAACTCGGGTTTGGGAGGAGTTTGCCGAGGCCATGGAGAACGACTTCCGGACGGCTTCAAGGAGATTCTGGTCCACCATCCGGCGTCTCAGGGCGGGAAAGCGGTGCAGCATCAACACTGTTCATGGTGGGGATGGTGCACTGCTGACCTCAGCTCTGGACGTTGTGGGTCGGTGGAAGGTTTACTTCGAAGATCTCCTCATTCTCACCGACACGCCTTCCAATGAGGAAGCAGAGTCTGGGGACTTGGGGGTGGACTCGCCTATCTGTGGGGCAGAGGTTGCTGAGGTGGTTAAAAAGCTCCTTAGTGGCCGGGCCCCGGGGGTGGATGAGATCCGCCCGGAGTTCCTCAAGGCTCTGGATGTTGCGGGGCTGTCTTGGTTGACACGCATCTGCGGCATCGCGTGGACATCGGGGGCGGTGCCTCTGGATTGGCAGACCGGGGTGGTGGTCCCCATCTTCAAGAAAGGGGACCGGAGGGTGTGTTCGAACTATAGGGGGATCTATTCGGGGGTTCTGGAGAGGAGGGTCCGCCGGATTGTCGAACCTCGGATTCAGAAGGAGCAGTGTGGTTTTCGCCCTGGCCGTGGAACAGTGGACCAGCTCTATACTCTCGACGGGGTCCTGGAGGGTGCGTGGGAGTTTGCCCAACCAGTCTACATGTGCTTTGTGGACTTGGAGAAGGCATTCGACCGCATCCCTCGGGGAGTCCTGTGGGGAGTGCTCCGGGAGTATGGGGTGCCAGGCTGCCTTATAAGGGCTATTCGGTCCCTGTACAACCGGTGTCAGAGCTTGGTCCGCATTGCCGGCAGTAAGTCAGACTCGTTCCCGGTGAGGGTTGGACTCCGCCAGGGCTGCCCTTTATCACCGATTCTGTTCATAACCATTATGGACAGAATTTCTAGGCACAGCCAGGGTGTTGAGGGTGTCCGGTTTGGTGACCTCAGGATTAGGTCTCTGCTTTTTGCAGATGATGTGGTTCTGTTGGCCTCATCAGACCGTGACCTTCGGCTCTCACTGGAACAGTTCGCAGCCGAATGTGAAGCAGCTCGGTCATTCGAGAGTAGATCCGCTGCTCCTCCGCATTGAGAGGAGCCAGATGAGGTGGCTCGGGCATCTGCTTAGGATGCCTCCTGGATGCCTCCCTGGTGAGATGTTCCAGGCATGTCCCACTGGGAGGAGGCCCCGGGGAAGACCCAGGACACGCTGGAGGGACTATGTCTCTCGGCTGGCCTGGGAATTCCCCCAGAGGAGCTGGAGGAAGTGGCTGGGGAGAGGGAAGTCTGGGTTTCCCTGCTGAGACTGCTGCCCCCACGACCCGACCTCGGATAAGCGGAAGTTAATGGATGGATGGATGGATGGATAATGTATGGGGCAGTGTGTGGCTCCTCAGGCTAAAACTCTGCACCAGTGAAAGGTCACTGATTTGATCCCCACCTCAGCAAAATATTCATTTCCGTGGGCCCTTGAGCGGGGCCCTTAGTCCCCAGCTCCATGGGTGTTACTGCAGGTGGCTTCCTTTCACTACCAAGCTTGCTTACACCTACATATGTGTCTGTGTGTCATGGAGGGGAAAATAGGATAGGCAAAAAGATAAGGAATCAATAAAGTGTCATAAAAAAATGTGAAAAGTTTGCTTTTCATAGATGTTTTGTTGTATGCTCAGCTTTTTGAAAACTACAATACTGTGTTTGGCCCTGTGGAGGCAGTCCCCCAGAGCACATGGTGAAAAATACAATAATAACATGTAACATGCCCATATTTTGGGGTTTCTCCCCCCCGAGTGCATAAAATGCCTAAGTGCACTTGAACTCCATGCTGAAGTAGCTGGTAGAATATGCTACGCTTTTTTGACCTAAGTGCATGTGAGTATCGACCCCTTAATAGTTAAGATTAAATATGCTAATCTGGAAAAAATGTTAATTGGTGTGAAAAGAAATCAAAGCAAGAGATATGTGTACAATAGCTGGTTCTCTGTTGTGATAGGAGTTGGCAACTGTATTTTTCTTGTCAGGTTCAAGATTTGGTTTTCTCCTTTCATCTTGGATTACAGGCTTTGGGCTACATTTCCCAATCATCATTACCAAACCACAGTGCATGTCTCAGTCTAATTTTTCTTGGTACCTATGAGGCAAAAATGGTTTTCGCATATTTTTGACCCTAGACAAACAGTTTCCCGAAAACTGCTTCCAAATCACTCAGTGAGTGAGATGGTGGAGCCCAAGGCCTCAGCCAGACCTGTTTCCTATTTTTTATATCAGATCGACTTTGCTGCACTTGAAGGCATAATTAAAAGCTGAGTGCTCTTTAGATCACAGCAGGACATGAGTAGGTGTCTCTCTCCTGGACTCCCCAAATATGCTTCTCATAGATGCACCTACTGACTCCCATACAGATGAAGAACCAAAGTGTCTGCTGCTAGTATTGTTTGCTTTAACATTTCTCTTCCTCCAGATCTCTGTCATAGATCTCTCTTAATGTTTAGAAAATATGTTTATTTAAGGCATCTGTTTTCGACTCAGGGATGAATCAAGGATTGATGATCTGGATTGTAGGGATTATATCTTGACATCGTGCCTTTTATGTAATTTGTTGCTGGTAGCAACATGGTATTTTTTTTGTACTGATAATGTCTTTTTTGTGTCAATGTTTGCCTTTTTTTGTGTAGTGTTGACAACGTTTATTTTCATTTTTGATAATAATAATCCTTTTAATAACTCTTTGAGACTTTTTTGTTATAGAATCAATATTTATTCTTTTCAGTTTAATTAAAATCGTTTCATAACATGATGCTTTAATAACACCACAAACTCCTCTGATAACAGTGCTGTAATAGGGACACAGCATCTCTGTTAGGTTCCTTTGGGTTCATGTAGACCATGAAAAAACTTTATCATATGATTTACAGTAACACAGATACAATTTTGAGTAAAAGGAACGTTTATAAGGTCGCATATATGTATGTTGTGTGACTGCGTTTGATGCAGCTGAAAAAAAATGAAATGAAAAAAATGAAACAGTGATGACTGCATGAGGTTGCATACATTACGGAGACCTCTACTTGGTATTTAGGGCTATTTAGGAACATCACAGTGTTTCTGAAATGAAAAGAGTGCTTTGGAAGAAAGGGTTCAATTGAAATTGAATTTTCAGTAATCAATCAAGAGGTCAGCTTGTGCTTTGATGAGAAATACGTGTTTCTAAACTCATTTAGTTCTATGACTGGAAACACTTGTTTCTAAAATTAAGGTTTTATGATGGGAAACACTGACATACATTTCCACAATGCAGAGCACAGCACAATCAATCAATGAACATTAACAATAGACAGAAAAAGACAGTACATACTTTACCCAGTGTGTATTATGTATCTTCTATGGATGCTAGCTGTATAGTCACATATGTAGAGCCTGATTCTTAAGATATCACCATTTTCAATTTTTTATTTTGTGTGTATCATTTGTCCCTCCACTCCCTCTACTGGCCAGATTAGTCACTACCACGTACATTTGCAGGCATCCTTTTCAGTTAGATAGATAGATAGATAAAGTTTAATCTAGTCGCGATTCTCACAAATATAAGTTGTGATTCTCACATGTGTATATCCCTCTTCATCATTTGCCATGTTGTCTGCACAAAATCTACACCACCTATCAGCTAATTTCAATGCTCTCTTCTCTGATTTCATTTCCTGTACTGAAAGTCATAGTTCTTTTCCATTATGGTTTGTTAAATGTCATACTGACTGAAAATGAATACAAATGTTTTTGTGTGAGCAGATTAATAGTTGTTTAAAAGCAGTATGAATGCACAGAGGTTCTGACATGGAGAACATCACATGACCCCAGTTCCCCATCCTGATAGGGGGCACAGAAGAGATGCTCCAATCTGGCCTGGGAGCGGCCACATATGATCCCATTGCAAGGTCCCTATTGGAGGAATGACAGCTGTTCTTTGCATGCGGCAGTTGAGCATGTCCTGCCCATTCCACCGACTGCTGTGACCATGTTTTCCTTTCCGAGGAAGTTGTCTTCCCTGGCATTTTGAGTCATCTACATCCTCTCCCTGATGTTGGCCAGCATCGGCGCTAACCTCTTGTTCGTATCCCCTTTCCACAGTGACATGAGCTTCTGGCATTTTCCTACAGAAGAAGAGAGAGCAGGCGACAGTCTTCTGACAGACCAGCCAGGCTTTGAGAAAAACGCCTCAGAATACATTAACATTTAGCTACAGCATACTGCTGCTGACAGCCCAGATGGGACAAAAGATGATATTGTTTCTTGTATCTCCCAGGAACTTTCACAAGCATGACTCCCCTTCTTTTTCGGGGTCAGGGATACAATGCGGCCTGGAAGGTGTAGGGATTGCAGGAGGAGGGAATATCTGGCTGTGCTCTACGCTGAGCGTGACCTTTCAGTAGCTGTCCAATGTGGCAGCACACTAAACATAAACAGCATATCATCGCATGCAAGGCATGTGGTTTCATCTAAGGACTTCTGTTTGTTTTGTTGTTTTACAAACAAATGATGTCCTGTTGAGGTACACATATGCATCCGGATAATATAGGCATATGTGTCTCCTCCTGGTTCTGTGGTCGAGTTTTATTTGAAACATAATTATGTTGGCCTTGTTTTAAGTTTAATGTTTCAGGTGTTGCATGTGGCACCGTGCAATTTGTATTTGCAGAGAGCTATTATGCTGTACAGGATCTATAAAGAACACATGTAAAAACAGTACGCAGTGCAGGTGTTTGCTTTTCATTTACTTGGCAATGTTAAGCAGGTCGAGTTGCATCTAAACCTGATTCTAGGTCTCAGCAGCCAGAAAACAGTCCAATCTACTGTGAGACATCTCGCAGCCTCGATGCTGGCTAATACAGTGCAAATTTTATTTGACATAGATGTCTATGTCTTTGATGCTGGAGATTTTATAGGGCAGATGTGAGTCTCAAAGCCAGCTTTTGGACAGGTGGCACAACAGTGGCTCATATTGAGATTCTCACAACCGTCACACCACAAGCACACTGACTGAGCTAGTATTTATGTTTTTGAATAATCTTAAATAAAAATTTGTTATACCATTGTTACTTGATTATATTAACATTGAATACAGTTTCTTAGGTACTATAGTACACTTACTACACAAAATTTGATATACTAAAAAATAAAATGAAGGGTTTTTTGTCATGCTCTGCTTGTCCGATCCTCCCGTGTGCCACGCCCCCTCATCTACCCCGTGTGGATTCCCTGTGTTTACCAGCTGTTTCTTGTTGCTGTTATTAGTTCAATGAATTGAAGTCTGCGTTAGGTATGTTTTCCCAGGTTCGGTCATTGACGTCCTTTTATGTAGCGTGGTGTCGTTTTCCCTATTAAACGCCATATTCTCTCGATCCCTCGACTCTTGTTCATGCTTCCCTGGTCCGTGTCTGCGGCAAGCACGATAGTAATATTAAGAGAACAATTGTTTAATCTTTCAACTGCTTATCCTGTATAGGGTTATGGGATATTAGTTTTTCTCGATTGCTTTGGAGCATTCCTCAAATGACAATTGACATTTGCAAAACAACAAATGTAATCCCCACACTAGAATATCATTTCTCATTGCTTCACACAAATTTCCAAATGTTTTAGTACATATATGCAAATGGTTTTGTACAATTGCCATAATTTTGCATGATTTTCAGTTGCTTTAGTCTTGCTGGTCAAAATAGATTATGTAGTTTCTCATTGTAATAATTTTACACCTGTATGTGATCATCGTGTTAGCCACCACATGTAAAACAGTTACAGTAACTAAACTTTCAAAATGATTTAAAAATATATTCCAGTGAATTGCAGTGATATGTATTTTTGGTTCCCACAGTCAGGGGCACCATAAAGGGAGGCTTAGGATGATTCCTAGGGCACCTCAAGGGCCCTAAAATAAAATAATTGGATTGGTCTGGGTTGGGGGCCTGGTGTGATAGACTTTCATGGGGCCCAAAGTCTCTAGCCCACAGTACATGATTTTGTTTTCATTTTGTTGTTCTTATATCCCCATTTTGCTGTTTTCATGTTATACAGTGCTGTGTGACTGTTTTTTTTTTTTTTTTGCTATTGTACAGTGTCTTGAGATCTGAAGATGTTACATGTGCATGCGAGTGCTTTCTCTTGACAGTGAACTTTACATACGGTAAGGTAGAGCCTTATGATGTTAAAATTGGTGTTTTTGACACAATAAGTATCAGTCTGCTAATGAAAAATGACCAGTCAGCGACAATGAGAAAGTGGGAACCGACTTATTCAGCATTGTGGAGCTCAGGAGCAGACTTAAACTGGCATACTTACACTGACATACTGACAATACATCTAAGCATTTTGGCTCTCATGGTTAAAACAATGTTGATTACACTTTTCATTATGGTGGCACTGACTAATTCATTGGTGGAATTATTTGCTTTTGAGACATGAGTTAATTGTTTTGGGTACGTTACAGGCTTTTGCAGTTATACCATAATGTTCTGCTATATGCATGAACTGTTTTGAAAAAGGTTTTATGGCACTTATAGTTTTGAGAATGTTAAGTATGTTTCATCAAATGTGCTAAAAGCAATCGCGGGAAACTGTATAAATATTTTTACTAAAACTACTGCAGGTTAATGCTAATGATCTTTCTGCATCCCACAAAGTGTGTACCGCTCCCTTGTGCCCTAGGTTTCCTTGGATAGGCTAAAGACCCTCCATGACTCTGTCCAGGAATTTAGATGTCTAGAATATGGAATATGGATTCATATGTCATTTGCATATATTAAATTTTATTATTATTATTATTCAGAATATCAAACATCCATTAATTTTCCATGTCCATCTAATCAATGCAGGGATGGGAGAAGATCAAAAATAATTTGTGTAAATGTGGAACATTCATCTAATCAAGTATGAGCAGAAAATTAATTACCCCACATTTTTCCATACATTGATCTTTAAAGTAATTTTCAGATTCATTAATCTGCCGGTCCCTGGTTCATTACTCCTAGATCTGTCACCAGTTCTCTCTTTTATTCCTTCTAGTCTGATGTTATTGATTGTCTTTCTCTAGAGTTCATGTAGTTTCCATTGCATTTGTCTTCTCCACTTGCCTGTCAGTCCAGACAACACATGACAGCCATTGTCATTTAGGTATGGTATTCTTCCTCTTGCACTGAGGTTTAGGGGACAACGGAATGTGAGAGGAAAAGAAATGAAAGTATGATGCGAGCCCAGTTTTTACCCTCAGGTTCCTCAATGGATCTAACAGTCTAATTTGTTTTTCTATACCAGTTCTCTTGTCAAGTTTGAACATAAAATGACAACAGAGAATAACAAAAAAAAAAAAAGATTTGTCATTGGTGCCGCAAATTGTGTAAGAGGGCTGTGGTAATGTGATGCTACCATATCTATATGGAAATCGTTTTATATATACTGTGTATTTAAATGATACTGACAGTGTTGTGATGTAGGGATTTCTTTTAAAGTTTTAGGTTAGCTTTGGAAGTAAAGTTATACTGTAAATGGAACTTTAATTATACATTTATTTTATATTATTCATTGATAGCTTATGGTGTCAGTAGCATTTCTTAATTAACAAAAGAACTGAAATTTCTGCTTTACAAATGTACGTCCATGCACTGTTTTTAGAACTGTTGCGTTTTCATGATTTGTGACTAAAGTGACTTAAAGCAAGAGAATGTAGACTGTGTACCTTCCCCTCCATTTTGTCCATTGTATTTTCCTTGTGATTACAATAAAAATTGAGTATTTGTCTCAGTGGTACCTCAGAACTCGAACTTAATCCGTTAACTCCAGATCGAATCCTAAAAAGCTCGAGTTCTGATCGAATTTTCCCCATAAGAAATAATGGAAAACCAATTAATTAATTACACCGAAATATCTTTTTTATTTTTTTTAGCATTTAAACACAAAATGAACCGGATAAAACAAGAAGAGCATTTATTGTACTAAACACATCTAAGCACGTTAATCAAAACAGTCATTTTTAAAGTAAGAAAATAAATGTATCCAAACAATGTGTCCTGCCCCA